AAAGAAGAGAAGAAAGAAAAAAAAGATCTGATACCATCATACCATCATACCATCCCGGGACCCACTCCCAGTCTACCCAGCAATCCAACTTCCAAAATCTAACTTCATCAACAAACGATCCACGCCCCCTACTCTCGCGGGAATATACCCCATATGCTCCTCCGCCTCCCCCTCCTCCGGCTCCGCAAGCGCCTGTCCATCCCACTCAGCCAAAAAGGAAGGATCTGACTCCAGTGCCCGGAGTGCATGAACGGCATCCTGAATCCCGTTCTTGACTTTATGGTGCAGTGTGTGGAGCGACTCAAGAAGCTGGCCTTGCTCGCGGTCTCGGTCAGAGGAGGTGGTCGTGTCGAGGACGCCGGCGTCGTGGTGGAGGTCCGAGGACGTGAAGAGGGAGTGCAGGCGATGGAGGTGGGTTGCTAGGTGGTCGATGTGGGTGAGGAGGGCGTAGAGGGGTTGCGTGAAGGAGGGCTGGGTGAGAAGGAGGCGGTGGGTTAGGGTGCGGAGGTAGAGGGTATGGGCTGTAGAGAGCGATTCAGGGTCGTGTGATGATGAAGCTGAGGGAGCGAGCGTTGGCTTATTAAAGGTTGGGGTGATGGGGTCAGAGAAAGTCGCGAATCGGGAGCGAGAGCGGGAGCGGGATTGAGAGTGTGAGCGGGAGACGGAGGCAGAGTGTTGAGATTCCTTGGATGGTGGTGGGAGGAGCCACGTGTGGAAATGGTCCCAGAGACCGGCGACGATTTCCGTCTGGAAGTAGGCTTCTGTCTCACCGAGGAAGAAGATGGCCGCGCTGGCTGTGGTCCACGAGCTGCGGAGGAGCCAAGCACGATCGGACCAGCGCTCGCGAAGCGTGACGGCGTAATCCGAGGTGCCGCGTGGAGAAGGATAGTGGCGGCGGAGCGATGTGATCTTCCACAGGTCCGTAAGGCGGATATGTGCTCGGCGGAGCGAGAGCAGATAGGAGTTGATGGACGAGTAGAGCTGCAGGTCCGACGCCGAGATGACCATGTCGAGCGGCGAGGGAAGGTCGATGCTCAGCATGGCCGGCACGCCAAACAGCATGTTGCGAAACGGAGACGCGGCCACATGACTTGCCGCCTCCATATCAAGCCCTCTGCCCGTGGCTAGAGCAGCCGGCGGCCTGGCCTTGGTCAGATGAAGCTGTATTAAGCTCCTGGCCAGGTCCAGCTGGTCGTCTTCTTCCGCATGCTGGCCCTGCATGGACACGAGAACCGCCCACGTCCGGTTCAGCACGGCAGCCACTTCCCCATCCTTGACCGTCACGTTTTTGACACTTTGATCACTGTTGTCGTGCGCCAGATGAGAAGGATGATGCCCTGTCCCGGTCACCGCCCTTCGCCACCGGTTGCGAATCTTCTCATCCGCCTCGTGTGTCAGCGCCATGGCAAACTCGCCCCGTCCGAGGAGGAAGAAGTCTCGGAGCAGGTGCATCATTTCCGATACCTTGGCCAGTGGCAGCATCTGCTGCAGAGTGGTTTCAGATAATGACGTGCGAATGGCCTTGATTGCCTTGGAAAAGTCGGCGCTTTCAAGCGGCAGGGACAGCGTGGACAACTCAGACAGTTTGGCGGCAACGTGGGCAACCCCCGTGGACGTGGAGCTGGTGTTGATGGATCGAACGTGGTGAAGGGATTTTCCAATAAAGAGCATGGAAGATGCAGTCGCGCCCGTGACGAAAGAAGGTAGACATTCTGCCACGCAGGCGTAGTCACGGTCGTTTGGGGCACCCTGTATCGTCGTCGTCTGTACGAAGAAGTCGTCGGCCCCGAAGCTCGGGAGTCTCCCATACAGCACCCATGCCGAAACCTGCTTCAGCCACGCCGTCTCGGCTGCCTTTACCAGACTCTCCGCCGTAGCCGCCACGTCCTGATATCCGCTCTGCAGCTCGTCCCGCAAGCGATCGATCAGTGCAGCGCCGCGGCAAGCCCGCCCCTCTCCGTCCCTCGCCATGATGAACCGCACCGTATCCCATAGCCACTCTAGTCGTCTCGTCCACTGTTGGAACTCGCTCATGACGGCCGTCAGAGGCACAATGTTGTAGGCGCCCACCAGGCCCGCATCGTTCCGCAACACGCTCGCCTCCACGTCTAGCACCTTGCGCTGAAAGGCAGCTAGGTGAACGGAGCTAATGGCCGTACAGACAGCTCTACAGATCGTACTGGGATGAGAGGTGGCCGTCTCGGACGAATAGGCGATGAGCTTCGTGTGTAGATGACTTATGTGACCAGCGGAAGAGAGCAGTTGCCGTTCGGGCGGGCTTATTCCTGCGAGGGCGTCTGCTTCGGGCGAGCTTGGGGGGCGTAGGAGAGGCGAGGGATGGCCGGAGAGGGACAGGAGGATTTCGTGGAGCATCGCGTATTGTTTCGTGTCGCCTTCCTGCGCTTGATTGCGTCTTGTATGTCGTGGGAAATAAGGATGATGGCTCCGAGCAGCTCGAATCGACACATGGACGCGCAGCTGCTATTTTAGTGGGAGGCTGATGGCGTCCCAGGGCACGAAGTTTGGGTGGCGAGTTGATTGAAAGTCGAAATGCTTCGTGATCTGCTACTGAGAGCTTGAGATGGGGAGATGGAGCCGCCGAGTATAGCCAGCAGCGGAAATTGAGATGACGTGACGTGAGGTGACGTCGAGAAGTCGTGAGGAGACGCGCGTGGAGTTGAAGGGATCCGCCGACGCGAAGGCGTAGGCGAACGCGCGGACACGTGATCTGCATGGAATTCCATCTTGCAAAAGGCTGCACTCCGGCAATCCGATACGTATGTATTTCGTATTTACAATCGTTTCTTTATTACAGAGTACATATGTACACATCTCCTGCAATATATGTATTGCCCCCGCAGCATGAACACGACTTCAGCCTGCCCTTGATCACCGATTCGTTTATGAGTACGGAGTACTCCGTACCTACATACACCGTCTCAACGGACGTTCCTTCGTGCCTACAGGCGTTCGCATATATCCTCATCCCGTTATGACCTCGAGTTGTCTTCCTATGCTTTGCCCTTGCCGCTGCCTTCGGCCACCGCTTTGTCCGTTTTCTCTCCACCACTGACAATGACCTTGCCGCCACCCTTGACATTTCCCACCACCATGCCCTTGGCCACGCTCTTCAAGACAGCGCGTCGAGACACGCCCGTCACGTCAATGTAGACGAGGCCAACATTCTTGACGCCGCCGCCGAGATTTCGAGACACCTCACCGGCTTCAGGGCCCCATTTGTGCTCAACGACGTGGCTAACGCTAGACGAGGTGCTGGTGAGCAAGCTGCGTCCGGCTTGTTCCATACCATCCACGACGGTGTTGAACGCCATGAAGCTCTTATTGAGCACCCCTGGCTTGTATGTCTCGATGGGCTTGCCGTCCTTGTCGAAACCACGCGCACGGCCATCCTTTCGCTTGGATAGGTTGGCGCCGAAGTTTTGCGCAACCTTGGAGATGGACCCGACTGTGGACGCGGATAAACCTGCAGCCTTGGTGGAAAAGTGGTTGATCCTGCGGATGTGCGCGTGAGTCGTAGGCGTGAATGTGACAGGCTTTGTGTTGGGCTGAGTATTCTTGGCGTAGTTTTCAGCCTGGCTGCTGAGGGTTTGCGCGACATAATCCGATGTCGTTATAAGAAGACGAGACGCTCGCATTCCCATATTGACTATGGTGGACTTCTTGTAGGCTGGATGCAACCTGTCGTCCTCATCGTCATCACCGTATCCCGATACGGGCTGAACCGTGATGGCCTGTGACGCATCGGTGGGCAGTGCGATTTCGACAGGATCTGTCCCGCGACTGGTTTAGCAAGACGTAGAGGAACACGCCAGTCAAGGACGCCGAGGGAATGGCACAAACCTTTGGATCCGGGCTTTATGGCCGTGTCCTCCACCACCTGAAATCCGTCGCCTAACTCCCCAACAACACTGCCATCTTCCTCGTCCACCAAAACAATACGACCTCCTTTAGAGGTTGAGCTCACGCTGCCATGAGCATAGCCCTCGCCTTTCGCGAAGCTTGCAGGGTCATACGCCGGTGGCTCATCACCAGCGGATTCTTTTGCCTTGGCAGAAGACGCCGGGGCTGATGATTTCTTGCCCCCCGAGGGCCCAGGGGCCGTGGCGCGTTCCAGAAATGCAGTGCATTGCGCGAGAATGGTCTCAAAAGTATCGACGTCTTCTTGAATACCAGCGCGAGAGCCAATGGCCGGGAATTCAATTCGTGTGAATGCGCCGCTGTCGGGTCCGAGATCCCAGCGAGGAATCAGGTAGCTCGTGGGGGGCTGATGGTAGATCTGTGTCGTGGCGGGAAGCGGCAGATCAAGCTCGGGTGGCAAATGTAGATGGAGATAGAAGTCTTGCGGACCCGATGCAGGGCCAGAGGGGTCGGAAAAGCCAGACGATGTTGATACCATCAGCAACGACAAGGTCTCGGGCCCGAGTGGATTGAGTGGTTGTTCATTGCCTTGGGCAATGTGATAGGCCTTGATACCCTCGACAGCGTAGAGGAGCTTCGGATCCTGCAGAAGATTCGTTCAGCATTGGGGGATTGGCGGAGGGAAGCTATTACAAGGGCTGGGATATCGCCTACATTGCTTTCTGACGCCATGGTGAAGACGGTGAAGAGCCAAGAAGGCGTGCTTGCGGGCTACACGACGAGCACAAGAGGGATTGTGATGTCGGGGCGGATCTGGATAGCTTCTGTCGTGTTGTTGCGCCAGTCAAGCTTTCAGCTGCCTACAAATGCATGTTACAATTTACATGTACTACAGAGTACAGGTACATAATTAAGTGGCTGCAGGTGCGGGGGAGCGGCTATGACGACGCAGATTATCGGTCGATACATATGATCTAACCCTCGTCTGGCGAGAAACAAGCTTTCTTTGCCAGAACTTCCCCAAGAAAGCTTGCTCTTGAAGTTGCTCGAGTCCCACATGTTTGTGACCGGCCACGAAAATGCTAATACATATAGAAATACCGTATCGAACCTTCACCAATGGGCGAATGGTTTAGTGGTATAATACTCCCTTAGCATCTGTCAGATATCTGACCCGACGATTGGGAGTGGTCCGGGGTTCGATTCCCCGTTTGTCCATATAACTACATCTACCGTTTACGAAGTTGTTTTTTTGCATCGTTAGTTGAAAGTTTGGTACGCGAGATGTGTATGTACAAGCTATCTGGCGTCACGTGAATTTTTGTCACTGGATTGAGCTTGTGAAAGAGGCCAACGTCGGGTACTCACCACTGAATCCACAAGTAACGCCCGAACTCAATCAAAGGGAAGGCCTTACAGAAACAGCCGTCCACGATCCAGCACTCTCCGGAGTCCAAACACACGAGAGGTCTGACTTACCTGTCCCACCAAATGTCCTCCGGCTTCTTAATTCACCATACATCGTCCACATGGAGATGGACGTTGTGGGAGGGAGTGTGATGGTCTGGCTAGTGGCTTTGCCCAAGTCCTCAGCAATATAGGTGTCAATTGTACAGCATTCAGGAATTTGCTCGATGAGTATTCTTTTGTTGTCTTCCATGGCGAAACAGAATTGGTCACATTGCCCAGACGGCGGCGCAGACACTCTCGAATAGCTCTTGGAGACCGAGCTAGGCCATCACAAGGGGGCTGAATTTTTCTCCTTACAGGCAGGGCCGCCGAGCTTTTCTCTGTAGTGCGGATGGCCAGTGGACGTCGACCATACAGAGGAAAGAGCTGCAAAACATGTGATTGACAATCCTTCGTAGGGAAATGGCTCTTTTAGGCACGCCTTTTACTGTTTGACAGCCTCACCGTTCGGCCGCGCATACGAAAAGTCAATCGTCGCCTTCTATCTTTCAGTCGTCTGTTGTCGCCGCTGCACCTCCGAAGTTCCAATTGCCCGGGTGCGGTCGGCACGTGGCCCATTCTGTTCGTGGATCTCGAGGGATAAGTGGTTTACTGACCACCTACTCGTGGGACAATGCAGAGTTCTCGCGTATGATCGTGTATGATCTGATGTGTACTTCAACTCAATGGGTACGTGTTAGCTACCCAGAATCTGATGAAAGCTACAATCAGACAAAACGCATGGGAAGATATCGAAGGTTTTCTTGCGCACGTCAGCAGGCCGGTACAGAAGCACCAGAAAGTATGGTCTGTGACGATCATTTGAACGCGATGCCGTCGTGGCAGTACCATAATCGTCTTGAATGAAGAAGAGCTCAGGCAATTCAAGAGCCCAAGAGGGTGAATCGACGCCAAAAAGGATTTTGGAAGTGGCTTGCTGGCCGGACTTGACTGAGCGGTCACTGATGGACGCTCTTGCCTTCGTCTTGTCATTGATGCCTTCCGCGCAACGCAAGGTCGAGATTATTTGACTGACTCGGTATTCTCGAACGACACTCCGGTCCGAAATCGATGCATGTCGGACTCGTGAGCTACTAGCCCACAGACTTCCAGGTCTTCGTCGCCACATAGCTTGCAAACGGGGATTGAAAACTTGCAGCCCTCAAGCGTCAAAGGGGAGCTGATAAGAAAGCTACGCCAGCAATGGTCCTGTTCCATAGCAAGCATCTTAAACAAAACCGAGACGAAGTCATGCAGGTGGATGGCCTTCCCAATGAAGATAAGTAGCAATTTGATCTCGTTAGACAGTCGCCGTAGACTGCGCAGCTCTACAGGCGAATCCGATGGAGTCTGCTGAAATCGATGATGTGGCCGGCCATTATCACTACAGGTTGAGTCCAATGTGTCATGAGGTAGTGGCTGAGGGGGTGGTCAGGTACAGTCAGAGCTACCAGAAGAACTCCGCCGGTATAGACAGTAGACTGGCATCTGAGTATACCGAAAGTTCGTAATTCCTTGACGTACTTGCGTACTAACGTTGGCAATCACAGGACATTTTTTTTAGTATTGGCGGCTGATCGGTAACATAGACGCTGGCTCTTCGGTGCATAAGCGTCAATAGAAAAGTAATGGCTCGGCTCTCCAACCGCATAGGATGTGGGAGGTCCAAGGATACCTGGTTTTTGGGCCCGGCAACAGACGGGGGCATGACGACTCGTTCACGGCAATGCGGCAGCGCAGGCCAGAGCACAACTTCACTGTCGCAGGCCACCACAGATCAATAATAATGATACGGATTCTTTCTTATGACAGCTTTCTGCAGCTTCCCGCCAAGTTGAACACTACATCTCCCTCGGTCAGAGACTCTCCTTCTCCGCTTCTGGGATCAGAGCGACCCAGGCCACGGACCACGGTAGGGGGTCGTGATATGTATGCTGGAGGGCTCAGGGAGGTGACGCAGAAAGACGACTTTCCGGCTGCAACTCTGCAAGCTTATGATATATCATTTGCTTCATCGAAACAATGCCGATACGGATGCCTCACTACATACGACTCAAATTTTTCTCGCTTCGTCATCTTCCGTTTTCACCTGCATTATCCTCCTTGCACAGCATGCAACACCATGTACCCATCCCCCGAGGGTCAAAGCTCAGGTCGTGATAGGAGCTACTCCATTGTTCCCGATAGCAAGCTTTGCCTCACTGATTTTGACCATCGGAGATCAAGAGGACGGCTGGACTATTGGCTATCCGAGCGGTACAGAAACAGAGACAGGACGGCATAGCAAGGGCCCCACGACTTACTTCCTGGATCAAGAAGCGTGCCCCTGGGTTTCCCTCGATAATATCGCAAGTATACTGGGAGAATCGCATGGGTGGCGGGCCGGCAAAGTTGAACAATGCTGTTGGAAGACAGCGTGGGGTTTTGGCCGTATGCACCATACACTCGCAATGTCCGATCGCAGAAAAGCAGTCTGGCGAGTAGCCGAGACCACATTCATGCACAATAATGCATGGATGAGTGATGCAAAAAATGTCCTCGGTGTGACGGCGGAGGAGCTTTTAGCACGAAGCACATACCGGATTTGATGCCACGAGGGATGCGTGAGTCAGAGTTGATGTCCTAAGTTGGCATACTCCATCCCGTGCCTTTACGACAACCAGGAGAACAAAGCGGATTTTGTGGTCCTGGAGCCAGGAACCAAAACATCCATGTAGCACCGCCAAGCTGCTCCCCTCACGTTCGGTTGACTCGGCTATGCATGGAGGCGGTGGCTGATGGCTGGCCACTTGACCAATCGACGGGGCGGATAGTCGTACTTGAATAATGTGCGTCTGCCGCGTCTTGCAAGTTCAATCACGAGGTCTTTCTGATAGTGTGCTGAACATGCAAGTAGCCGAGAGACAAATCAAATAGGCGGCAAAGGAAGGGCGATCGAATAGGTCGGAACGAGGCCAAATTCGGGTTCCCCAATTCGACGAGGAGAACGTTGTACATACCCGCGACTTTATGCCGACCTCGCAAGATTTCCGCTGGCTGCCCAAGTCAATCCAGAAATATATCTCAGAACGTTGCACGAAACACAGTGCAAAGCCGGGCTAAATGCATGTAGCTTGTCCTAGCGATGTTGCATTCCGTTGAAAAAGCAGAGAAGCAGGACAGGCCAATAACATCACCACCATCACACGTCGCACACGTGTTTGTACTCCTCATCGCGGTCAACGCTTGAAGCTGGACGAAGCGACCGTAGCGACAAGAACAGCCCTCTTGTCAACCAGTGCCAACTTGAACAAGGTTCGCCCGAGTATATGTTGTGGAATAATAATATCACTATGACTTGAGAACCTGTCCAGTGAAAAGAGGCATACGCGAGAGGGCTTTGTGTAAAAGTTACTCACCTCATGATCCCGTCGTGCAATTTTTGCTTTCATGCAACAAGTTGTCAATCAGTATTGCAATGTCACATTGAGGTAATGTACTCTATTTCCTAGTCTGTGCTCTATTGTTCAGTGCTGCGTCATTCTTTCTTAGTCGCAATCCAGAACTCAACTCTTGGAACTGACATATCAGCCACATACAGATCGAGTTGCATCCAAGCGTTACATTGTGGTAGGTGATAGGATATCAAGAAGCGACTTGGGGGATGCCTCTCTTCGCATTGGCATCGTGTTCACTGGAAGCATGAGCCATGAGGCCGGAAGGGTGTGCCGGTCAACATCAGTGCTGCTCTTTTTTCTTTCACGCGTTTGCTCTCTTTTTCGCTTCGTCATTTTTTTTTCTCAGGGTCATTCTTGTGTTTCCGATAGCTTGCATTTGCGCGCGAGAAGCATATCCGCCATTCGCCCTTGTGTCTGCTTCATGCGGCGTACAGCAAGCTCTTATTTCGGGTCACGACTTATACACACCTCTCTCGCTCATGCCTGATAGCCAATGGACAAGGCACGAGGGCGATCACAAAGACTATCTTGACTGAGTTTAAGCAGTTGATTCGCTGGATCCTGAGACTTGCTCTTGGTTGGACCGTATGAGACGAGTATGATGGACATACGTGAGGCGTGCATGATCCGTCGTTTATGTGGCAGATTGGGCCAGAAAACATGCCATAATGGAGGTCCGAGGGTCGATTCAAGCGCCACGACTGAATTATGGGTTGTGATCTCCCAGAGGTGCCTCGCATATATCGCGAAATCAAATGGAACGATGATGTGCAAGTCAAGCATCACCACTGAGCTGCCACGGAGCGTACCACCGTGAGAATAGCCAGAGTGTTCCTCGACTTTGGGAGTAAGTGACGTCTCGGGTCCCTGACTATTATGTCCTTGATGTGGCCACTGGTATGTATATAAACCACTCGACATCTCCAACATTGAGAAGAAAAAAATCCCATCACTTCTCTTCATCACTCTTACTTTCTTGTCTATCACGACTATTGTACTCAACTCTTGTTCATACTTGACTTCAGTCTTCACCATTCCACTTTCCAGTAGCATCCTTGCAGGTTTCTGTCTGTGGCATCGTGTGCTGAGAGCGAGCCATCAGCCCACTTTACCTTGCCCCTTTCTGTCCGGGTTGCTATTCATTTCTACTCTTTTTTCTTCTTTTCTACAAGAAGAACCATGAGTTCCCCACCAGGGCCCTTCTGGAACTATCCAGCCGGAACAGTCAAAGACTGCATCACTGTCAGGACGGTCCCCGATCCAGCCCCAACGACATCGACCCCAGCTGCTGCCCTGCCATCCTCGGACTCAGCCGCTGCCCTGCCATCCTCG